ACATTATCCTGATGTTGCGGCCCCTCTGTTTGGTGGAGCCTAACTGAAGACATGTCTAAGCTCTGCCTCGGAGAGGCATCGTGAACCGCCTCGCTGGAGTTGGACCGCTGGTGGTGGTGGTGTTGCTTTACCTCCCTCCTCCTAATGATGATCCTCCTCCAACCTCGGTTCTCGGTCCCCCTCCTCCTCTTGCTCGTCCACCTTCTCCACCTCCTCCCATGAATATCGATCCTCCTCGTCCTCCTCCTTCCACCTCGATTCTCGCTCCTCAAGCTTCTCCTCGGCCCTCGCCCCTCGCTGGTCATCCTCGGTCATCCTCATCCTTCTTCGCCCGAAGAAATACTGGGGAAACCAAAAGGCACCGATACCGCTACTCCCCAGACATCTCCTGGCGTGCGTTTTGACCAGGATTTCGAGGCGAATCCAATAGTGGCGACGAGGGCCTCCCCAGAGGCCCCAAAAGAGGGAAACGAGGCAATGGCAGCGGTATCGGTGCCTTTTCCTCCTCTGAGGAGGGAGACAGGATGGACGAGAAAGGAAGGAGAAGCAAAGCCGCCTCAGGGGAAACCAACAAGTACCGATACGGCTATTCTCAGATCGGGTATGTCCAACTACAGGCGGATTTTGGAAGACACATGAAAAGTATAAACATAGTCAACAAAAGTCAAGCGAACACGAAAAATCGTCGCCTGACTATTCTTTCACTATTCTTGGCTATTCCTCTTGTAGAGAAACATGCCCGACTTAAGGCTATTCCCTGGACCTCTCCGGGAATGCGGTCTGATCGGGACTTCGAAGCAACAATCCAGCCGTGGCGAAGAGTGCCTCTCGGGGGGGCCCAGCGGCCCAGCGAGGCGAAGACGAGGACAAGGTAGCGGCATATGTGAGCCGCCCTCCCTCACCCTCCGTGGAGCCCGCCTCCCTGCCCTGAACAACCCCCCCCTCGAGCCTTCCTCCCTCGGGGGAGCAAACAATGACATTACGAAATCGGAGGTCCGTGCGGATTTCCGGGACTGGCGCTGGATCCCCCTCCCTGGCGCGCGGAGGGTGCTGGGGGCGGCGCCGGAGGCGCAGCCAGGGGGCCCCAGCGCCGATCTGAGGAATCCGACCGGACCTCCGAGTTTTGATGCTTATGTCATGTGTTGTCCCCCTATCCCTCCTCCCTGGAGCCTCCCTCCCTCCCTTCCTCGTCCCAGGGGCACCCGAGTGGATCCCGAACCCGTCACGGAGGGGGCTTCTGGGCACTGGGGGCGCATGTCCTGGGTCGCCAATGCCTGTCACTGTCGGGGCCTGGCTCCTGCACCGAGGCCACGTGCCCGCCCTCCCCTCTCGGGCCCCCATCCCCCCCCCTCTCGGCTCCTTCGCGGCGAGTTCCCTCCCCCCCTTTTCCTCTGACCCCCCCCCCTTCGAGCCCTCTCCCCTCCCTGCCTCCATCTCCCCCCCCGAGCCCTCTCCTCCCCCCCTCCCCCCTCGAGCCCTCTCCCCCCTCCGCCCCCCTCCCCCGCTCGGCTCCTCCGTGGCCAGCCTCGCCCGCAGCTGGGCGGCCTCCGCGCCGCACAGGAAGCCCAGGCAGGAGGGCATTGCCCGCGGCCGGCGACGAGCGCGCCCGCGCGCGCCCGCGCGCGCGCGCGGGGGCGCCGACGGCGGCTGCGGCCTCGACCTTTCTCTCCCACCCGAAAGACGCAGCCAGAGAGGCCTCCTAGATGGGGTCCGAGTAGATGGGGTCGAAGGATCGTGACGCATCGCCAATGCATCGCCGATGCATCGGCGATGCATCGCCGATGCATCGTCGACGTCGGCGATGAATCGGCGACACCGGCGTGGAGAAATTCGGGCTCCGCATCGAGCCACAGCGTCGATGCATCGGCGATGCGGCTCGATCCTCCGACACCATCTACTCCGGCCCCATCTAGGAGCCCTCGAAGCCAGGACGTGACGAGGACAACATCGGAACTGCTGTCTCGGGCACCGCGGCCTCCTCGGAGCGTTCTGGAACGCCCCATCCTGGACCGGATTGACCCTCGTCCTGGCCCCGTCCGATCGTGCTCCTCCCCTGAGATCCTGGCTTCTCATTTTCTGTTCTACACTGGGCGTGTGCGCCCCCCGGACGCCATCCCAGATCGATCCGGCTGGAGCAGTGGCGCAGGCGCAGAACGATGGGGCCCGTGGTCCGTTTGTGGGTTGTGCTTGCGATGCTGCGTGTCTTTCGCAGCCTCGGATCTCAGGCACAAGGGCGGGGAGTGGAGAGGGCCTGGCAGAGGCCTCCACCCGAGGAGCGACGGGGTCTCAAATCGAACCTCGGCTATTCTTCTTGCCCCTGTCTAGGTGGGGTCTTGGACCGTGGATGTCAACAAATCCGCCATCCCCCCTCGTCCTCGTGTCTCGTGGCCCTCACGTGTCCCCTCGTCCGTTTCCTCGTGCTCCTCGTCCCTCCCCCCCTCCCTCATTGTTCCTCGCTCTTCCTGCGTGAGAATAGAATGTCCTGGAGGAAACGGGTCACGGATCCTAGGGCTTCTCCCTGGGACAGGCTCATCAACCTGAGTAGCTGTCGGCCCGTGGGGGGGCCCAGGACCTTCCCTGAGGACTCGGGCTCGCTCATGGAAGCTCCTCCTCCTGCATTCTCCTCCAACTTCTCTTCCACCCTTCTCTCCCTTCTTTCTCCTCTTCCCCTCCCCTCTCCTCATCCATGCCCCGCCTGCTCCCCCCGCTCCCTCTTCCTCCTGCCACCTCACCTTGTGTGCCTCCTCCGCCAACCCGTCCTACCCTCCTCCTCTCCCGCCCACTCTTTCCCCCATCTCTTCCTCCTCGTCCTTAGATTCGTCCTTCCCCCTCTTCTTGCACGCGCTGAGGCTGCGCGCGCTGAAGCTGGTCATTGATCGATGACGGGAGGCACTTCTCCCTGGATAGCTTTCTGGAAGAGCAGACGACGGCCTAAACATACGCTTCTGGAAGTCCGCGCGGCGTCGTTGGCTCGGCACTGGACCCGTTCTCCCGGCCCCGCGAAGCGCGCCAGGGGATGGCGAAAGGCGGTGCTGGCCTGAACGAGCGCCGACCCAACAGAGAACGGCAACCTCCGGAAATGTGCGCTGATGCCACCGTGATGACTCGATGCCGCTATGATCCTTCGATCCGCCATCTTCCTCCGAAGAGCTCGCGCTGGTGGCTGAGCTAACAGTGAAGGTATGGACCGTGGGTGATCCCTGACTCCCTGGCCATCCCCGCAGGGAAAGTGTGGAACCCAAGTTCTAGCAGATCAAAGCGGCTGCGATCGGATATACACCTGGGCAAGCATGGGCAAGATCGGAGCGACAACGTGGCGAGGCGAAGAAAAGAAAGAAACCTCTGCACTGCTCCTCCCCCAATCAGAGAACCGATATGTTGCGTGCCTCAATACGGGGTCACCCGGAGCTCCGACCCGTTCCCCGGGGCCGGCCTTCCATCCCGAATTGTTTAGTGGACTGTCCTTGGGTGCGGCGAGGGCCCGCAGAGGCAGACCGCAGCGAACAAACAGACCTCCTCCTCCTCCTCCTCCTGCGCCTCCTCGTCCTCCTCCTCCTCCTCCTCCTCCTCCTCCTCCTCCTCCTCCTCGTCACACTCCTCCTCCTCCTCCCCCACCTCCTCCTCCTCCTCCTCCCCCACCTCCTCCTCCTCCTCCTCCTGCTCTTCCTCCTCCTCCTCCTCCTCCTCCTCCTCCTCCAATGCAGTCCCGAGGGTCGCTGCGAAAAAAGCAACAGATCTTGACCCTCCTCTGTAGCACCAGACCCATCTGTGGGGCTCCCAGGGCACGAAGCAGGGCAGAATCGCCCCCTGGGCCACGAAACACGACGGCAGGATCTCCGGGTCCTCCTCCTCTCCTGAAGGTGCCAGGAAGGGGGCCGACTCAGGGGGGGGCCACCTGACCCGGAATCGTCGATACATCGCACCCGTAGATCGACGATGGGCCCTCGATAGCAGATCCGCACGCTGCGGGCCAGGGTCGGCCATCGGGCCCCTTAACGGGGATGACTGGGCGGTTTGGGGTCGATCTGGTCCCCCCTGGGCCTATTCTTAGGCCGGGCCTGTCCCCCTGCAGGGGGATTCTGAACGAAAAAGAACGAATAGCCAAAACATACTCAACAATAGTCGAACATAGTGGAACAATCGCCCCCCGATATGTTTAACGATGTTTGAATATTCCTCCAGTAGAAGGGACAGGCCCGACTGAAGCCTTTTCTCGTGACGTTGCCCCTCCTCCTCCGTTTTTTGTTATCATAAACTTTTGCGGTCCGCGGGGATTCATGGATCTGAGCTGGATCCCCAGCCCTGGCACGCCAGAGGCGCCGCCAGGGGGCCTCCGCGCCGATCCAGGACATCCGCGCGGAGCGTCGACAGCTTATGTCCATACCATTTTGTTTTTCTTCGATCCTCCTCCTACGCCTCTCCTTTTCATCCTCCTCCTCCACATGGTCGAGCAAGCATGAATATGGGGAGGCAAATGCACCAGACGGACCCCAGGAAGGGTGTGGGGACCGATTCTGGGAGGAGTCGGCCTGGTCCCTCTCATCTTCCCTTTGGACTGATCTTTTCTCGGGGGCCATGCGACGCAGACCCTCCAGCCGCCTCCAAGTTCAAGTAACCGCTGACCTCCTCCTCCTCCTCCTCCTCCTCCTCCTCCTCCTGATCCTCCTCCTCCTCCTCCTCCTCACACATCTCCAACCTCTCCTCCTCCTCCTCCTCCTCCTCCTCCTCCTCCTCCTCCTCCTCCTCCTCCTCATCCTCCTCCTCCTCCTCCTCCTCCTCCTCTCCTCCTCCTGCTCTCCCTCTCCTCCTCCTCCTCCTCCGCCTCCTGTCCTCCTCATCCGCTCCTCCCCCTCCCCCCTCCTTCTCCTCCTCCTCCTTCTCCTCCTCCTCCTCCTCTTCCTCCTCCTCCTCCACCTCCTCCTCCTCCTCCTCCTCACCATGACCCCTCCCTCTCCCCAGACCAGGCGACGGTCACAAGCGCGGCCGCGGGCCAGCCGTGC